GTGTATGATACTACCTCCCTAATGCATAATATCATATATTAGTATCATGTAGCACTTTATTTATTGCCATGCATGACACAAAGTAGCATAGCATTTAATATGATACGGTATCATGATATGATACTACACCCTCTCTTTCTTCATTTAATGCTACGATACCTCATCAAAATTGCCTAGTTGGTATGCATGATACTAGCTATGATACTACCATTACAACCAGCTTAAGTTATCCGATACCTCTTAGTCTACCGGGTGCTCGGGAATCTGGTTTCACTCTAGACTCCTCGGACTCCGCGAGGCGCTGTCCCTAATGCCATCGTTATCCACCTTGCCGCCACTGTAATGCGCGGCCACGGATGATTCCCGCAGCCCGCACCAGGCCCCCCATGTACACATCAATGTGTTTGTGCGGTGGCCAGTGCAACATCTCGCCCGGCATCATAACATTGTTATGCTCTACCCGGTGCTCCGTTATGTACCCCCCATTATCTAATGTTCGTAGCAGCCTTATTATCGCAGGACACTCACAGCGGCACGACCTTGTATTCTCACGCAAAGCATCCCCCTGCTCCAACGGATGTTTTACCATCAGACCAGACCCTTCATCCAGCACAAATATGAAGGAGAACTGAATTTTTAATTGATATACTTACTGATCAACCACAAACAGTCTCCTGCATGGTCTTCCGCTTGCAGGATTCAATCGGCTCTTCCCATGGCTGATACTAAACCCATTTTCCCACTAATACAGGTTGTAAAAGTCGTATGCCTCTGTCAGCGCCCTCTGCGAAAACCCTTATGGACTTCTCAAGAGTACCCATGCTAATGAGGCATTGGGTTCGCTCTGTCGGATTCGCTTCCACAAGAACTCTGCGATAAAGCAAAACCCAAATCAGCGACCTGCCGTTCAGGGAGAAACACTTGAGACACAACAAAATTACCAATCCAGAGAACAATGATTAAAAAAAAGTTAAGACAAAAAAAATCAAAAACACACAAGGAAGGCCGTGAGGGCTTTCAGAAAAGAAACACACAGGACAGAACACTGTTTTTTCTTTCCTTAAATTACCCCAAATGGCGCCCGTCCCTTGGCGACAGCATTCCTGAACTCCGGTGCAATTTTATTCACTGAGCCATGCAAAACACAGACCCCATCCTCCCACCATAAATTATGAGCTCATCATCCGCCCTCTGTACACGGATTTAGATACCAACTTTTTCACTACCCCTACAAAATCTTATGCACCTGATCTACAACTTGTTTTTGCATCCAACACTGCATAAAAAATAACTCTAAATGTATGACGGAAAAATCAAACACACAACTTAATTCCATGGGCACACAAAATCTGAGGTGCAGCAACGCAAAATCTTTTTGCAACTCTCGCAGCGACCCGGCAGAACAGCCTAACCCCTTTCAGCAACATAAGTACATGCATTTTTTTCAGTACAGAACACATACTCACAACAGCACCTCTATCAGAAAATTACTTTCACCACAGCGCCCTACGCCACCGCAAGCGAACACTACAGAAAAATGAACGCCTAATTCCGTTCTCTACCCGTCGTCACGGCTCACCAGAAAATTAGCACAAATATTCACAACACAGAATTCAGACACCCATACCTCTTGATCCACCCTGGCCCCTGGTGCCTGCGGATCTGGCTTCATAGCTGACGCACCATACTCCGCCGGGCCGATGTCCCTAATGTCCTCGTCGCCGGGATCACCACAACTGTATTGAGCAGCCACTGAAGAATCGCGCAGCCCAGCCTAACATCGGAAAGGATATATTGAAAAGCAAGTGCTTGGCTAACAACACACATGGGAATAATGGTGAGCAGAGTATGCATTGCTTAATGCCCCAAAAATCTGTTTAAACAAGACTGCCATGCAAGGTATACATCTAAATAAATGAGGGCCTAATATATACTTATACTAATCTAGGGGATAAAATGAAGTTAAGTTATCCTTTCAGTAATCTTTCCAAGCAAAATCCCTTCATAGCTTTATGCCAGATTGGTTGAGCTACCTCAAGAAGTCTAAAAACTTACACGACCAGAAAACTAACAATAATAATCTGAACCACTGAGCTAAGCTTATATGCCAGATCATTCAATCCCGTTGAAGGCAAATTAAGCAGTTAATTGCATTGAAGATTCAGATACAATAGACAGATACGTAAGACGCATCACTATTATGTGCATAAATAAGTTAAATGCATACATGTTAGAATTACAAGATGATGATGTTGTTCATACCAAATAGTATCCCATCGCTACTCATGTGTCTATGCAATATGAATCATACGGAAAGATACAAAATCTTGGTAGTTTGTTCAATGCATGAAGGCCTTAATTAAGCTGGTTCCTTACAGTAAAGAAAACAATATTAATCATCTTGGAAATAATATGTGCAGGTACTGTTTCGTTCAGTCTTCTGCTTGCCTGATGGATTAATTCCTGGTCGATGAGATCTATGCTCTTACCATTATTTAAAAATAAGGATAAGGCCTATGCTCTTAGAATTACTTGAAATCACCAAGTTCTCTTTCAGATTGCCCCAAGATCCAGGTCAGAACTTCGTAACTCTAATTCCTCTAATGAATGTGTTTCAAGTACTCGCAAAACCTGTCAGCACAAATACATCAACAATTCTGCAGTAGATAATCGTGTCTTCAGATAGTAGTACGTGTCATCGGCTCATCTCATGTTATCTAAATCTACATGGACCAATCAAATAATGATAGATCAGTGAAAGACAATGAAAGAAATACAAACAATCTTCAGGCTCTGTAGTGATTGTTCCTATTCTTTGTAGGCTACATCCATATAAAGATGTGCAGCAGAAAACAGCGACATGGCCGCTGGGAATAGTGGCTGCGTGGCCGACCACAAGAGATAAGGTACAGCCAGCGGCCCAAGATGACTCAAAATCGCAACAACGATTTATCGCAGCATTAGCAGCCAGATCCCCAAATCACCTCAGTGCCCATCCATCCCAATCCACATACAGTAGGGGCAGGAGCTCGTCAGCCCCAGCACCTTCAGCCACAACAGTTGTCTGTGCTCCACCTAGTCTCCACATGGAGCATGACGACCACCACACAGAGGATGATAGGGTCGCACGGCCGTCCTTTTCCCCCGCCTACACGATGCAACCGTATACGCCACGCTTTTCTTCCACCCTCGCAGCGAAGCACGTGCTCCACCCACTTGACGCCGCCCCATGCTCCCTTCCTCCACAACCAAGTCGCCGCCCCACCTCCACCAAGACTTGACCGAAAGGAAGGAGACGAACCTGGGGCCGCCGGAGACGTGCCGGCGAAGCCCTGCCAGAAACCCTAGCCACGGGCCGGGTGGGGTTGCAAGCGGGCGGTAGAGGCCGGGAGCAGAGAATCTGGACGGAGGAGAGGGAGGCGCAGACCGCGGGGAGCTCGAGGGCATGCTGCGCGGCGCCGGAGCTCGCCGGAAGCAGGCGACATGGGTGCTGGCGGCGGCGAGGACTTCCTGGGGCGAGAAGGATAGGAGGCGAGCCCGTGCTCCGTGTGTGGTCGGAACGCGGGTTGAATACCCCAAACTGCAGGGCCTTTTTTGCAAGAACGAAACGTTTTCTCAATAGCCACTTTAGTAAAGGACTGCGCGTTGAATAATGGAAAACCATAGGGGCTTTTTTGCAAAACGTGCGCGACGGCGGACGACCAGAAACAATCGCTGGTTTATTATTAGGGAGAGAGGGAGAGAGGAGAGATACAAGGTAATACAATTAGACCTGAAAAAACAAGAAGCATTATTGTTGACAATTGGGACGGTCCCAGATTTGATTATCAAAGCTAACGGGAAAAAGAACCATCACTACAGTGTTTGCACGGAAAAACCAGACAGTTGGTACTACTTATTACAAATCCAGCACAAAACGCAGTTGTGCACCAAACTCCATGAACATATGCTTGTGAGGGCAGAAAAGCTCAAAAATCTGAAGTTCGGGATACATAATTTTCGTATTCCAAACCTAGCATAGAACACAGTTCAGCACCAATCTTCTTCAACATCAACCTGTGACAGCTGAAAAGGTCCTTCAACATCTCGATTACATTTGCTCTCATGTCCACAGGCATGACGGTGGCGTCCATTCGCAACGCATCCATCAGCCTTGGACGGTCCTTTTCACAGCGGACCATGTTATCTCGCCACAGCTTGTGTCCTATCTCCTTGACAGACATCTCCTTATTATCTCTGTAGAGGTACATCATATAGCCACCGGTATAGTCGGCAGCTGTTGTTTGCAGATTCCACATATTCAGCAGCTCTTCCAAGAAGAGTAAACCGTGGGCTGTTGACCCGTATAGAGACCTGAAGAGGCCATCCACCTCCGAATCCATGGTGGATTCCACAATGGAACGGAGCTCCTTCCCGTGCCTACCCGTGTTGGCCGCATTGAATACAGCACTGTTCATTCACAGAAACTTACAATTTTTATTTTTCTTTTTGCAGGGAAGAAAACATGCAATTATTGACCTGCTAGAAAGATCCAGATGACGGAATTGGTCAGGATTGAATAACCTGTACACGTTATGCATTGAGTAGTCTCCTTGGTTTCCAAGGTAAAATTGCCGTATCGCGCATTCCACAACCCATGATGTCATTTGGTTGAACTCGTTGCGGTTGGTGTGTTTGGCCATAGTTGGTATCATTGGGCATGGGACCATAGCCACATTCTGCGGACAGTCACCCTAACAAATCCAAAAGAATAACAGATTGATATAGCCATTAACTTTGTTTTGTAATATGTACAACGTAGTAATAAAAACTAAAAAGGCACCAATTAGTGAACACACCTTGCTCAGCATACTCATCACCATTTCTATATCAGGTCTATCCTTTTTATTCTCTTTCAAACACAGTAAAGCTATTCTAATGCAGTTGTTTATTTGTCTGAGATGCAAGTGCCGCTCTTCTTGTGGTCCGTTCAGGGGCCTGTTTCTCCATTTATCAAGTACCTATCCATGTAGAGCATAGTAAAGGAAATAGTCTGCACTAGGAATGAACAAACTGACATACATATTATGTATATCTAGGTACAATGGAAATGCCGATGTACGTACCCTCTTAATGTATTCTTCCTTGCCTGGTGTTTGATCTCTTTTGATGTTACCCTCTGGTCCAGTTATTATCTTTATCATTGTAGCACCAAGGCTGAATATGTCAAATTTCATTGAGATTTCGAACGGAAATTCTTGGTATTCCGGTGGCATAAACTCCCTACATGACACATCATATATGTTAATGTGGTGCTATATGTGTCGATGTAAACAAATTGACGTGAAGTATTAATCTCACACTGTTCCGTAAGAACTTTTTGTCAGGCGTGTTTTATTATCGTTGTAGATTCTGGACAAGCCGAAATCTGCTATTTTTGGTGTCAGGTCCTTGTCCAACAAAATATTCGCTGGCTTTAAATCCAGATGGCGAATAGGTTTTTCTCTCCCGTGAAGAAAGCCCAAGCCCTTGCATATTCCCATAATTATTTGGAGACGTTTGGGCCAATCAAGGACTTCAGATTTAGATGCATCTGGGGAACAAATGATGTACAAGTTAGGAGCTGTTTGTAGACATACTAGGTGAAAGAACTAGGAAACGCCCATACCAGAAAGATGATGCCCAAGGTCATGATTCGGGATAAACTCCATCCAAATTGCACTGAACTTGTTGCTCATGTGTGCTGGAACTTGCTTCAGAGTTTCTCGGCAAATGCCATATACCTGCACAATATTCTTGTGCACGAGGTTTACATGGTTGTCATAGTCCTTGTCGAATAGCTTCTCGGCAGCTTCTCCCAGGCTAGCATCGAACACCTTAATAGCAATCTCTCTCCCATAATAATTTCCCTGTCTTACGTATCACATTATTCAGTTTCTGTTATTATATAGAAAATTTATATAAAGCAGGAAATTATACGGTTATCGGAGGTTTTTTTGTTCACTAAGGGCAATTCCTTTCTGTTTAATTAATTGAAGAAATTAAGAGGCAAATAATTTGTTTCCATTTACGGTGAAAAATATTTGCCTTTTGCATGCTAAATAAGAGCATTCGTGCAAGATTCAGTACTCAAGCTGCTCTCAACAAGCTCATCGATCTACATCTGTGGTGTGGAAATCAGAATCTACGATCAATGTGGTATGGGTTCCAAAACGTACCTTGTAAACGTTTCCTTGTCCACCTCTACCACAATAGTTCTCTTCATTATTTGTTGAGAAACCTTTTGTGATTTCCGCTATTACTGCGTACGTCAGTGCTTTTTCTTTTGAACCGCAAATGTCCATCGGTGTTGTTTCACAGTTGTTATTGTGCGCCATGTTGCTACTTGTGCTGGTACAAAAATAAATGAGAATGGTAACATAAATTGAAACCAATAATATTATGTATCATACCGATAGGCTAAATCATCACAAAATTATAACCAATCCAGCTGTTATACTTCCTAGTCATAATTAGCATGTACATCTGTTCTACTTTTAGAATCACACTACATAGATCTGAATCCAATAGCCTTATAAAACAGAAAAATACGGTGTATAAGTTTTAAAAAATGTATCAAATAAGTGATGCATATAAATGATTGGATACAAGTATGTGTGTGTAAAATTGAAACTTACATACCATCTAGTGTGACCACTAAAAAATGTCAAAGTAAACAAGGAACTGAAGGCAACCTTAACTTGTTAACTTGCCAATTTGTTATTTTTTTGCAGGTCAAATACATTTCCGTTGAAGTAATAAACATTTACATGCACATACTTGTATTCATCCTCTACATGCAAGATTTTTTGTTCCCTGTTTTTCGAAGCTTAAAAGTGTATTGTTTTTCTTCAAAATCTCCACATAGGGTACAGATGAGCATTTTCCCTTATATATATGCGAGAATATAGCATCAAATGAGGTAGAACTCAAGGGCGCAACATATAAACATCACTAGAGCCATTTTAGTTTGTGGTGGGTGTGCACAAAAAGAAGGCAGAGCCATATAAGCCCTTTGGTAAGAAGGCAGAGTATATAAAGTGTATTGCTAACCATGCATTTGCAGCTAGATAAAAAGGAATCTGGTGATTTATTTGTGAAATAATGCCACACTAACCTGAAATGATGTCGGCCGCAGTAAGAAGGAATTGAGCAGAATCCGCAGCCCGACTGGTTCTTGGTGATGGATCAACTGGTTTCAATCGTGCTCCTTTTAAAGAAAATCCTGATCGAGGTGCTCTGAAGGATGTTTACTTACCTGTAATTTAGTATGGTTGCATCTCCACCTTTATTGAACATCCTGTAATTTAGTATGGTTGGATCGAGGTCCAGCAGCTGTAAACGAGGAACCCCTGTTCCTTTCCTGTAAAGAATACGGTTGGATCGAGGTACGGACACCAAAATCACAGTTTGAATTATTCTGCTAGTTGGACATCCTGTAATTTAGTATGGTTGGATCGAGTACATGGAGCTGTAAAGGAGGAACCCATGTTGCTTACACCCCGCAAAAGAAAAAAGCAAAAAGAATACGGAGGTCATGGTCTCATGGAGCTGTAAAGGAGGTATGGTGAGCAAAAACACTGTTTGAATTATTATGCACGCGGATTCGTGTAGTGCAGTACACTAGTTTAGTATAAGGTGTATACAGTACTACACTAGTTTAGTATGGTTGTGTCTGCACTATTGAACCACCGCCGGAAAAAAAGACGTCGCTCCATGATGATTCTCTGTAGCATTTGCGTAAAGAAGTCCCGGGCAACCTGGATGCATGGGAGGAGAATTTGGGATTCATATGTCGTGCAGCGTAGAAAAATATAAAGATCTAGTGCTGCAACTTTTTCTTAATCAACTATCAATGTATTAAAATACTAGAAATAAAAATTACATCTGGGCCCATAGACCACCTTGGGTACAAGAATCAGATTTTGTGGCGGATCAGATTTTGAGGCCAACACCAACACCGGGTACAAGAATCAACGTTGCAATTGCAAGCAGCCATATAATGGGGGAAAACCTAAGAATTATGAAGAGGCTCTTAACACGCCATGTCCAAAACATAGTTATCCTAACAAGCCATCCTTTCATGCTTGAAAAGATTGTTATATTATCCTGGCAATGGTAATGGTCCCCCGGGCGGGTCAGGCTCTGGGGGCTTTCGAGGAGCCGGCTGTCTCAAGTTCTGGCTATTAAGGCCAAGGGACCATGGTGGTCATAATCAGCAGTCTGCTCAAGATAATCAGCATCAGAGCAACCAATCAGGATATCAGAGTAATCCTAAACAGCTAAACAGTGGCCAATATCATGACTTCACTACGAGTACGCGTGACCAAAAGGTCCTTAAGCGAGTGGTTGACGTGGTTGAGCCGACAATACCGCAATATTTGAAGTGGTCTGCACAAACGATAACTTGGAGCCAGACGAATCACAAGCCCCGTGTTGATAATCCGGGGCATCTGGCCTTGGTATTGGCCCCTCAAGTGGGCAGTTACAAGTTCATTAAGGTACTGATGGATGATGGAAGAAGCATCAACATATTGTATTGTGATACTTTTTGGCGAATGAATCTGACAGAGAAGGATCTCAAACCGTCTTCTACTGTATTTCACGAAGTGGTTCCTGGCAAGTCGGCTTATCCTGTTGGGAAGATTGCCCTAGAGGTTGCTTTTGTTGATGAGTATAACTACAGAGCAGAAACACCGTGGTTTGAGGTGGTTATTAAGATCAAGAGTCCATATCATGCACTGTTTGGACGACCGGTTTATGCAAAATTCATGACTGGCCCTTTTTATATATACTAGCACAAATGCCCGTGCGTTGCACCGGGAACTTTTTTTGACGTGGATTCAAATTGAATGAGAATTATGAAATGTTGCTCATTTTCAAATCGGCTCAGTGCGCCACTTCTTCTATCCAACTCTAACAATTTCTTTTATGAATATAGATAGAAGAAGGGAACATAATTCTAAAAACATATAATTCACTTCATATTTTTCCTATTCCTCTTTTCTCGAGTAGCGGATATTACTCGCATTTGTAGTGATATAGTATATGAATAATGTTATTGCCGTCATGTCTACCAGAGTTTCAGTAGAACAACAAAAAGAAAAAAAAGCCAGAATGAAGGGAAAAACTTATGGAACTCACAAATTTTTGTTAGTTCCCTCACTTCAGAAATGTTCAATTAAGTTTTCAAAAAATAGAGTTGTTCAACTAACACACTTGATTTTCTGTTTAAAAATAGATTAGTACGTAACACAAAGTCTCGAGCTTGAAATTAAAATAAAATAACACAGCGCAATGATTAATTTTCCCACAATCCCGTTTAAGTACGAGTCATTTTTGTTTTGCGCCCATTAGTTTTCCATACGACATGTAGGCATGCAATGATGAGCCATGAAATCAACTGCCCCACAATCCCGCTTTAGTTAGGAGTTTTTATGTGCGACCGTTAAATCTAATTTTCCACATTCATGCTTTTCAATTACCCAAGATATCCCTCAATTCCTTTATTTAAATAATACTCGAGCATCATGAAGCGTGCATGTGCATCCTTCCTTTTATGATTCATGCCCAACACACCTCCCCAGCCTCTTTCTTATAATCTTCTCAGCTGGCACGGACAACTTCTTGGTTTCTTTTAATGCCCAAGACAGCCCGACCTTTATAACCTTGTCCGCTCTGACGTTAATCTTTCTTAGGCAACTTGCTGGTCATACTGGAGAATTTCTATGTATATAAAGGGCTACGGATTGATCTAAACGAACGATGTGGGACTAATCTAACATAAAATATGGATGCTCACCTGATCACCCCCAGCGCTATCTATTTTTCCCACGCGGCTTGCGGCCCAGCAAAGGCTTAGCACTCTATTTATTCAAGCCCGGTGAAGCACTGCAGGTCATCGGTAGTACTATTCATTAGTATGAACGGCCCGCTCCAAACAGCATCATACGTTAGTCCAATTGGTCGCACCCTTAGGTAACGGAGAGGAAGTGTTGAGTTCCACTCCTGAGTACCTGGTATATGTGGCCTGGGCCGTCTACGCCTCTGGTTCAGGACATATACGTATTAAATTCAAACTAAAAGCGTAAATTCACAAAAAAAAAATATTGTGACGATGAACCCGACAAAATCAATCCGTGCTTTATTTATTATTAGGAAGAGGTTTGCAGCTCAAAATGCGATGGCCGAAACGCCCAGTTATGGTCCAGGGGGATCGTAAGATAGCTGTGGAGTGCGAAGAAGAAAATGCTGCTTGTGCTGGGGCTCTACTGCCAATTAACAATAGCGCATGGACAAGAACAACGCTACTGATATTATTAGTTTTCACAAACTGGTCATAATGTCTCACTAACGAAGACACAATTTAGCGGGTACCACACTCCTTAGTGCTGGTGTTTTTCTTGCAGTTGGGGTTAGCTTGTTGTCATCATCAAGGTAGATTGTGTTTTCTGCGAATTGTCATAATTCTAGCGGATGAATCACGGAATCATCTATGTTTGCATCCACCGAGTGATGTGCTATGGCGACTCAGACTTGGTGATCCAGCAGTCGTCTGGCGACTGGGACGTCAAGGATGCAAACATGGCGAGCTACCGCTTCCTCGTCTTACAGATCAGTGGATATTTTGATGGGTGCGAGTTCCTTCACGTGCCACAGGCCGACAACGAGCAAGCTGATGCCCTGGCACGGATCGGCT